GGTCTGTGTGCGTTCATATGCGTGTGTGGCAGGACGGTCCCACAGGAGAACTAAGTTGCTCTGAGACGTGCTGGCCGCTCGCAGCGCAAATGGTAATAAGGCGGGGGGTGGGGGGGGGACAAACGCTCCCCTCCTCCCGATCTGTGAGGGAGCTTGCCCCCACCTATCTGCGTCTAGCAGAGAAGGGGTGTGTGTGTGTGTGTGTGTGTCTGCGTGCAAGTGTGTCGAAGTGTGCAGCACGATGTCACTGAGCATCTCACAGTGGAGCGGCGGAGTTGACTCAGTTGAGCTGCACTGGCCTGACACACACACACACACTCTCTCTCTCTCAGTCTCGCACACACACTCAGCGAGCCACCGTCTCTCTCACTGGCTCGCTCTCGCACACACACACACACACACACACACGCTCAGGCGCTCAGTTCAGTTCCTCCGTGGCTGCGGCGGAGTACAGAGGAGTCAGAGAGAGAGAGAGAGAGGCAAGAGGAGAGGGAAAGAGAGAGGACAGTCGGCAGCACAGACGTTGAGAGAGGGACACATTCACAGAGACACACAGAGAGAGAGGCTAAGGGAGAGAGAAAAGGAGAGAGAGAGAGAGAGAGAGAGAGAGGAGCGGGAGGCAAGGAGAGCTGGATTGCTGGTGGCTCACTCCCACACCTCATCTTCACTTTGCTGGGACAGACACAGAATTGATGGTAAGATAAATTCAAGCTTTTTATTGGCTCGGCTGTTTGCTTTCATGGACGTTTATGGGACTTTTTTTTTTTAACTGGACTTTAAATATGTTTTTTTGGTTGTTTGACAAATTTTTGGGAAAACAGTGAAACAGTATTTTTAAATTTCACAATTTTTTTTTGCTGTATGTGTTTTTTTTTTTTAAGTCTAGAGTGTAAGATATATCTCTGTTGTACTTACAGCACACTATTTGTTGCCTTCTCAAGCTTGAATTTATTTCTGATTGTATTTCTGTGTGGATATTCACTGCTGAGTCTGGTGGTGGCACTTCCCAGGTTGCTTAACTTTTACTTTCCTACTTTTCTTTTTTTTTCTTCTTCAAATATTACGTGAGTGTGTCCATGTGTGTGCATGCAGGTAAACATGCGTTCCACTGTGTATGTTTGCATCCAAGTGTGTGTTTCTGTTCACTCCGTGTCCAAGTACAAAATGACTGACAGATGGATTACAGCAAAAAGTAAAAAAAGAAAAGAAAAAAAAAGTCAGGCCAAAGGCAACAACATGCACCCCCTCGCCTTAATTCCCATAATCCCCTCCTTTTTTTTTGTTTTACTCCATTCTTGCTCACCTTCTCATCAACCTCCCTCCTCACCTCCATCCTTTTCCTCGTCCCTCTTCACCTCCAGTGCTCCGCTCATCTTCCCCTGTCCAAGACGAGGCCCCCGAGGAAATTCACCACAAGCCCTCTTCTCTCTCCCTTCACGAGAATTAACTCCACATTCACTGCTCTGCCACCGGAGCTGCCAAGAAACCTCACACACATACACACGCACACATACATCTACTTCCTCATCTTGCCTCTTGCTGTTATCCTCCTCAGCAAGCAGGAACCAAGCTAGATTTTTTTAAAAGGCAACATAACCCCAAAAGAACCCACCTTCACTGACTTCTTTTTCTTCTCTCCTCCTTCACACTCCCACATCCCTGCTGCCCTCCCTCTCTGTCTCTCCCTCTCTCTGTCTAAGTCCAAGGAGGCAGAGTTGGATGTGAGAGGCAGTGAGTGTGACACGGTCCCACCAGAGCCCAGCAGAGACCCAGAGTCGCCCAGGCCACCTCCAGCTAAGGCTAACGGACCCACGGACACAGCTGGCATTTGCACGAGCATCATCTCAAGTAGCCACAGTAGTAGTAGCAGCAGCACCACCAGCAGCAGAAGTGGTCTGGGTGGCGTAAGCATCGTTAGCAGCAGCGCTGAGGGAGCAGGCGCGAGCTCCATGCAGTTCAGCACCAGACCGCCTAGTGCTGAGCAGCCGGGCTTCATGGGGACATGGCAGCAGCAGAGCACTGACAGCAACCTCCTCTACAGAATGTCCCAGCAGGTACGTCGCTCAGCCTCACCCCTCCATCTTCTCCATCTCTGCCTCCTCCTGTCTTCCTTCTTTCTTTTCCATCTTTAAGGCCAAATGTTCATTTTCCTTCTCCTGATTTGTGTTTACTCTCACAGTATTTACTGGTTCCTGATCCAAGAAAGTGTTGGTGTACGTCTGCATGTGTAGGTGTATGTGTAAGCTCATGTTGGGGTGGGTGGGTGGAGGTGGTGGGGGGAACCAGTGGTTTCGTGGTGTCTTGTTTGTGATATTTTAAGTTAAGAGTCCATTTTGCAGCAGATTTTTTGTAACTTTCCCTTTTCTTTTTGGAACATTGATTTCATGCTTTTGTGTTGCTCTTTTACACAAACCTGCTGTAAAGTATTTCAATTCATGCATTTTCCCTCTCTCTCTGTCATCTGTCACTTTTTCAAAATTTATTCAATGCATTTGTCATTTTCTTTTATTTTTTAAAAAAGGGCAAAAAATAGCACATTTTATGTATTTGTAAAAACATGTTAATATAAAATTTGCACAGCTTGCGACATGATTCCTTGCCTCTTGTTACACACATGCTTCTGTCTCAGTAATTGGTGTGAGAGCGGAGAGGAGTTTTAAAAAGCAAGCTATAGGCGTGTTTTGGTAACCCCAGCGCCGATAAAGACTCGGGAAGGGGCACCCCTCTGGGACCGGCTAATTGACTTCGTGTGGCCGAAGCAGGAAGCCCCTCGCGCGGCTACGGAACAGCAAAGGAGCCGTGAATGAATCCTGGCTGGCCAGGAAAAGTAGTGATGATAACAGAGAGCCCGCAGCGGCTGAGGACAGTCGAAGATTTCCTCCCGACATTCCTCTGCTGCTGTCGCTGGTGTTCCTCTTCGTTCTGTAGCCTTTTTTTTTTTTTAGGTTTTTAATGTCGTCTCTAAAGTTAGAAACATGACAGGGATGAAGTGGTTTCGTTGGGTAAATATCAGGTACGGAGAGGGGGGATAGGAATGTCCAGCTCCGAGCAAGTGTATGTGCGCGCGTGTGCTAGTACGCGGGCGCGCGCGCGCGCGCGTGTGCTTGTGTGCGTCCGTTCGCGCACACGTCCGCGTGAGGGGAAGACAGTAAAGATAGAGGATGGTTGTTAGGTTGCAGTTAATCATAGCGGGACCTGCAGACTCTCCGTACCATGCACACGCTGTTACGCACTCGGGCCATAGCGGCTCTTGCGCAACAGCTTCGCCGCGGCTCCGTGCTGTAAGTGATGAGAAACATATTCTGTCACCTTGACGGCACTTGGAGTCCGTTTTGTTTTTGTTTTGTTTAACCCCCAGAGGTCGAATCGTCAAGATGAAAACGATGTTTTGGGATTTTTTTTAATTTTTTTAAAAAAAAGAACAAGAATCCCGGTGTAACTTTTAGTAAAGACCCGTTTTGTTAAATAAGCTTTCCACGAAATAGTTTTAGGAGAAAAACAACCTCCACCTTTTTTTGTTTTAGTCAGGTTGATCTTTAAAGCCCTCAAATTTATTAGATGCGTAAATCAATAGTGTTTCCCTTTACATCCTCACACCTTTCGTGCTTATCACGTTTTATCTTCCCCACCCCCTCAAAATCTTCCTAAAGTAACGATCATGCAAACTATTGATACACGAATTAGTGGATGGGTTGCAGGGGTCAGCGAACCGCTTCTCTTCTCCTCTCCCGGTACGAGCAGGTGGATGGGCCCTTGCGCTCAGCATCTGCTGGGACCCCACGTTTGCGTCCCCAATCCTTTTTACAAATGCGCACCGTTGTTTCAATATAATCAGCTGTGGGACTCGCTGTTATTTATCCTTCCTCGCACTACTTAGAAGACATCTTCTCATGTTTAGTAGGCATGACATAAATTCTCCGAAGGAAGCCTGTTCCTTGACAGACTCGCCTTATTGGAATCTAACCGATAATGACTTTGTGTTTGCCGAGCCTGGCGCACCCTGGGGTGTTGGAGAGAAATGCGTTATGGGCTTGTGTTAAAAAAAAAAATACCCCCCATCTCCCGTAAAGATCAACCAGGTGACAGATAGATGCAGGATTTTATAAAAGTTTAGTTACATCACACCTCCATCTGATCGATAGAGACATAAAAAAAAGATTTGTGCGCAGTGCGTTTTGGAGAAGCGGCTGTGATGAGATGCAGGGACATCTCCAAAATAACAGAAACAAAACATAACAACAACAACAAAACCCATTTGGCAATACCTTTTGGAATTCCTTGTAAATCAAACACACAAAGAAGCACTGTCGAAACGTAGGAAATGTCTCTTGTGATAGGAAGGCAGTGATTTTCCTATTTTAAAGCCATCCTGTTAATAACCTGCGGTTTGCAGCAGGTGTTTGATTAGCTCGTGGACAAGCATCCGTGACTGAAGAGTGCACAGAAAGTGAAGCACAGACATTAATTTTTTTCTGTTGCATCCAAATTCCGAATCACTATTTTCATTTTTTTCATCATAAAAAAGCAGCACGTGTCTTATATGGCGTAGAGAAAATTGCTTAAACCTAAAGAAAATATTTAAAAACCACTTTGAATTTAATAAATAATGCCTGTATTGCTGCCGAATTTTAATCGTTTTTCATAGATTTTTATTGGCAATTAATGAATGTATTTATTTCATATTCACTTAGATGTTTTTCAAGACACGAGGCATTTTCTTTTAAAAATATTTGGCCACAGGCGATGCTGTTTGGATTGAAGAAACAAATGAAAAATACAGGTGAATTAAATATTTTTCCTTATGTTTTATTAAATGTGGAGTGTGAGATTGCATATTGATACAATGGTATTTTTCCCTTTTTCTTTTCTCTTCTTCTTCTTTATTTATTTATTTATTTATTTATTTTTAAATCGTTGCGTGATTTTTCTAAAGCAACGAAATTAACAGCGTTGGATATTGAGGCATTTGTGCAGTCGAACAAATTTACACCTTTCATAAAAGGCCTTAGTAGGTTTTTAATCTTTGAGCAAACTCTTTTTTTTCTAAGCCACACAGCAGGAGATTTACATCCTCTATAATCCACGCAAGTGTCAACAGGAAAGGGCATAAACAGCATGCAATTTAAATGAAATCAATGAAATGGATTCAATAAATACGACCTATTTTCTCAGCTTCCTCGTGTTAAAAAAAAATCAGTGCACATTTTACAAAACACTGCGAGAAGGGAACTCTACTAATTGCTTTTATGGCGGAAAAAATACAAACATTAGTCGCGAGTGTAATTAATTCCAGGCATTACGGAGTGATAATATTTGGAGCCTTAATTGACCCGCTGCTGTACATGCGTGGCTATGAATATCGACCCTCTGCAAGTTAAAAACTCCAGAGTTAAGTGATACTACGAGTCTAATTGGCTCATCAGGGATGTTTCCTCCACAATACAGCAGCCGGAGGCCGCGTTTCTCTCTCTCCTTTTCCCCCCTTTTTTATTGTCTTCTCCGCTTCAAGTCGGAGGAACGTAGGAACAAGTCAAGGATTAGAGAAGCTTGTAAAAATGTGCCTTCATCTCCACCTGAGGATCTGATGGAGCCACCCAGGCTCGGTGCAGACCTCAAAAGGGGTGGGGGGAAAAAATCAGTGTATATCTCCAGTTTAAAACCATCTCTAAAATAGCCTCTTCCTTTTCTTTTTGCAAGGGTGCTGTAACGCGGCTTCCTTTGAAGTGCGACAGGTCGACTATGGGCCGAGATCTGGAAGAGGTATAGTGGCATTACAGCTTGCCTGACTTCTGTCTGCTCTCAGTGCTGCCTGCTTCATCTCACACCGAGACTCTTTTTATCCACCTATGGACACAGCAGGGGTGGATAACACAGACATATCATTTAAAACTAGATAACACAAAAACGCCAAAAAATTAATTCAAATACCAATAATAATCAGCGTTAAAACAATAGAAATAATAACAGAAATTTTATATCTTATATAGCTTTTTGTGGCAATTTCTTTCTTAGGATTTAAAATAATATTTTAAACAAACACTCAGTCAGATTTGCAGCATTTTATTCTTTCACTGTAGCATTTACAATTTTAGGATATGGAAATTACTTTAATTTAATGTTAGTAAATTAAATTTATAACTAATATATATATATTTATATGTCTTTTTTAATTCTTACAAATCTGCTGGCTTCTTGTCTCCAAACATCCTCTCAAAGATTTGAAAGCCTGACTTTATTTCCTCTAATGTTACAAATTTTCTTTCCATTTCTCTTCCTTTTCCTCTTTTTGTCATGTTTATTTATTTATTTATTTCGCTTGGATCAACATCACAGTCCTGTTGGTTGATTTTCCCTTGTTCCATATATTTCGTTAAAGCGTTGTGCAGCCAGCCCAGCGCTGTCTGTTTATGCCAAACGGTTGGAAGTGAATTCTGTTAGTGCTCAGAGCATGATGATGGACATATTTGTGGAAAAACATGCTCTGCTTTGTTTTGTCTGACTGAAGAAATTAGGTAGATATTATCCTCTTCAGCGCAGTTCAGAGTAGACGCTAATCTGCCTATTAACACAATGATAGATTTATAGCAGTGTGTGTGCGTGTGTGTGTGTAGGGAGGCTGGAGGCAACCGTTGTTTTACACGGTGGGGTAAAGTCGTGTTGTATGTTGCATATGTGGTGCATATGCATTGCTTCTTACTGTTGTGTTGGACTTGGAGGCAGTGATTTGATGCATATGTGTAGAATTACCCACAATCGGTGAACGTGTGCGCATGTGTGTGGTTACACTCGCTGTTATTATTTCCATGTCTGTCTTTGATGGGTCGTTGCACACGGAGCATATGGATGTCTATACATACATGTATCTGGTGTCAAGTGTGTGTCTGTGTGTGTGTGTGTGCGTGCGTGACGTTTATGTGTGCGCTAAAGAGTTGGTGTCTGTGGGTTTGCCATTTATTTTTCTGAGTGGGTGGCTAAGCACTCATATGCCAGTTGTGTGAGTGTAAGCGTGTTATTAAGGATGTGAGAGTGTGTGTGTATCCTCCCTGTGTGTGTGTGTGTGTGTGCGTCTCTGTGTATTGGATCGGGCTCCATGTGTGTGCGGGTGCGAGGTGAAGTGTCTCTTGGCTGGCCCTGGCTGGAGAGCTGGAGGAGAGCAGAGGTGAAAGAGGAGATTTGCAGAAAAGACACGCACCACTTCCCCCATTACTACTTTTTCTTTTTCTTCTTCTACTTTTACGTCTTTGTCTCTCACAGCTTCTTCTTCTGCCCTCGCTTTTTCAGCCCTCTTCCTCTTCCCCTACCTTCACACTTTCTGCTCTGTGTCTTCTTCGCCACTGTCTTTCTCACTCGAAACTCTTCACCAGCAGCAGATCGAATGCTCAAAGACGAAATCAGATGGTTTTTATGCAGCTACTGTCTTTGCACAAAAGGCTCCTGAGACTAAATCTGTGTAACTGGGGAACATTTTGAGCGTGTTCACTTTATATACCGTGCAGGATTACGACTCATCATAAGACACAAGGACAGAAGAAGCACAGTGTTTTCTTGGTTATGCCTTTTTAATCAGTGTTTTGGTCTGGTAACCTGACCGGAAAAGCTTCAAAGCTTCAACAGAATAGATGACCCTGATAAAGCGCTTATCCCTCGATCTAAACTTGTCCTCTTATAGTGCCTAATTCACGTATTACTGCTGCGCACCAGTTAAGAACATCCAGATAACATAGGCAGAGCTGAGAAGGGACGCTGTGATTTTTGAGCGAGCTGGCATCCAACGCAGTCTTTGTGTGTATGATGATGCGTTTTGTAAAGGCGGCGTTATTTCTGCAGGAGAGCAATACGAGAGTAAGACCGAGCAGGAAGGTGGGCACAGCTACTAGTATATTTGCTGTATGCGTGCTCTAGTAAGAGCCCATCTGGTTTGACGAGGTGGGAGGATGCACAAGGTCCCATTCATGCTGCGGTCCCCACTATATTTACCCAAGTGCCAACCAGGGAGATATGACGTCCACAACATTTTTACTTTAAACTAGTTCCAACTGGCGTTTCAAAATCTTTTTCTCTCAGAAAGTGCATCGCCCAGTATGTCTGAAGGTACATGTATACATACGATAACTATGCCAGCTCTTTAAATTTCTGTTTTACATACTGCTTGTCTAGTGGGTAACATCAATAGCCACGCTTTTAATTCCACCATTTTCCACTCTATTTCTTGGGCAGTTGACTGACTCTTCACGCGTGCACATATATTCTCCTTTCTTTCACTCACCATCTTAAAATCCGTACGATAGATTTTAATTTTCAATTCATTTATATGCTGTCCTTTCAAAAATAAAATACGGCACCCTGATCTCGTGTATCTCAGGTCAGGCAGGAACCTCTGTAGCTGTGCAATAATGCCCTGCAGGTCCAGCGTTATGGGTAAGCACTGACCCTGACTCTGTGTGCAAGACCTGGGGCAAACAACGATCAATAAGCATCATGTGAGCATCACTCACAGGCTCCATGTCAGCTGTTTCCTGTTTGTCCTGAGGAGACAGGTGCCTCACCACCATGGTGAATGGGGGGGTCTGTATCATATGGAAGCATAGGGTGCATTTTATGGGTGAGGAGCGATAGAAATGCACAGCCATATGCTCTGGCTTTATCAGTGGGATGAGTGGTAAAATCTACTGGAGCTGAGTCTTTCCCAGGGACCTCTCTTACTCTTGTGTGGGCATGTAAAATCAAAGAAATACAGTATTCCATTTCCTTCTGTTGTTCTTTATTTATTGCGAGTCGCTTTTTTTGACAAAGTCAATCAATAAAATACCGGTAATCTGAGTAGAAGATGTCAACACCGCGTAGCACTGAGGAAATTCATGAAGTATTTCAGGCCAGAAAGATTTACGTAGGTTTTATTCATTTGGAATAAATCAGCGTGGTTATTCAAAATGTGAGCTATACTCAGCAGCACATGTGTGTGGGGTGTGTGTGTGTGATTAGTTTCTTACGGCACTGGGAAAATGGTTTACAGTGTTATGTATTTTTAAATACAACTGTTGTCATGTAGATTGCATTGAGACGCTTTATGCTGTTTTGTTTTTTTTATCTGCTGATGTCCGCGTAAGCAGTGGAACACCCGTCTTTTTACTGTGTTTTTCCTTCTTTCATTTTCTACGTGTCTTTCAAAACACGGCTGTGAGTTATTTGTCTTTGGGCAGTTTCCTGCAGTGCGGTGAAGTCGCCGGTGTGAAGAGGAAATGTGTGTGTTTGAAGGGCTGGTCGCTCAGGATGTCACCACCCCACCACTGGCTAATGAGGGGGACATGAATACAGGGCCAGGGCAGCAGCACACACACACACTGACACGGCAGGAATGCAGCAGCTGTCACCGGGATCCAGGCAGCTATAAAAGGCTTGAAGTGTAGTTCTTGTAAGTGTGTGTTTGTGCGAGTGGTATTACCAGGGGTTGCTGTGGCGTCGAGAGCCGGGAAAGGGACGGCGCTGCCACAGGTGACCCGAGCCACCAGCGGGGTGGACCATCAGAAATCCATTTATTTTGCCTGTGGTATTTTAAGACGTGGCCATATGGTAGAGACATTGTTCTGTATCTAGAGGAAGGTGACATTAGGTGTGACCTGTGCTAAGTGACAGGAACTTGGGCATACTTTCACCATGGCTTCTCCCTTTTCCTGTTATTCCTCAACTCCTGTTATTTTGTTTTCCTTGGAGTTGCGCCAACGCAGCGGGCAAATCGAAAGCCTACTATTTTTACATCCGTCTTTAAGGACCCCTGTCTATTCGCTCTGCCTGCCAATTTGCCCCATCAGCAGTGGCAAAGAAGAAGAGCTCTCAAGGCACCGAGCCTTTCATTTTTCTGTTGGCGATGTAGCTAATGCTGTCACTGTTATTTGAAAAAGCACTCAGAGTGAATTGCTATTATTATTGTTAAAACCATCATCATCAGGCTTATTTATGGTTATGGATAATGATGGTAATTTTGTTCAGGTCTCGCACTTGACTCTGTCTCTTTCTTCTGCTAATCTGACATATACTGTGTGTATGGGTGTGTGTGTGCGTGCAGGCCTACTGTACAGTGCTGTGTGTTGGCAAATTACCAAAGTTGTTGTTCAAAGAAAATGGTTTTTCCAAAAGGTAACACAGATTTCATGTCCACAATTCACATGTGAGGTGAAGAGAGCTGCACTCAGGCAAGAATAAATATGTTTCATCTTTTAATGAATACATGGAACCGTGTCTGTGAACGGTGGAGGTGGAGGAGGCTCCCCCCCCCCCGTTCACTATTTTCTGTTTCATTTCATTTCTTTCTTCCTTTTTTTCTCCTCTCTTGTGCTCCAATGTTTTATTCTCCATCTATCTCCCCGCTCCGTTCTGTTCTGTCTCCAACTTACCATGGAGGTTTGATTGCTCGAAGCCCAGGGAGGATTTTTTAGGGAGGTTCTGGAGAAGGGAGGCTAGTGGTACAGGCTGTGGTAGGCTTGTAGCCAATGTACATAGTGCGCACGTATTACACATGCACGCACATACACACAGATATAAAGTACAGTGATTTTCTTTGTGCAGATTGTGTAAATTGCTTCTTAACAATGCTGTCATTTTAACCCACTGAATAAAAAGCCTCTAAACTCGAGTCTAAACCCGTTAGCTACTTTTTTCCCTCTCGCCTTCTTTTTCCTTGTGAGCAAAGTGTTAAAGCAACATGTGTAAGCGTTTGTTTGTGCTCTCTGCTGACTTTGTAAAGATGTTTGCGCTGTTGGATT